GCGCCGGGGGCGCAGCGCGGGGCCCCGCGAGCCGGAGCAGAGCCAGGGCAGGGCCGCAGGTGAGTGACCCCCGGGTCTCGCCTCTACTTCCCCGCCTGGCTCTGGGGGCGGGCCCCTCGCTCTGCCCTTTGGGACCTGAGCTGGTTCACCAGCCGGCTTCCCTCCCCTGCACTCGGGCAGGGCTCATGCAGCCAGCCTGCGAGCGCCCGGGTGGGTTGGGCAAGGTTATTGCCAAGAGGCAGTCTTGAATTTAGGCTGGATTCCCCGTGCCCCCCTGGAGTCGGTCGTCCCATCCGGGGCAGGTTAGCGGGTGAAATTGCTTTACTCCCTCCTGCAGCCCCAGGGGCCTTTTTGGAAGACTTTAGTTCAGAGGGTTTCCTGCCCAGCTCCGGAACTGATTGTGGGATCAGCCCCCTCTGGTTTTGTTTCCAGCTGCTGTTTGTGGGGAGGAAACTTCTGTGGGATTTAGGCAGGTGCTGCAGCAGTGGTTTCTTGGTCTCAGACCATCAGGAGGCAGTTGCCACTGGACTGCTGCAGCTAGAGGGTGTTATGAAGCCAGGACGTGTCTGGCTGCACAGTGCCAGTTCAGTGTTCAGGCAGTGTGGACTTGTTTCTCTCTCTGGCTTGGACAATGCGTGCTCTCCGTCTGTGCCTGGTGCAAATAAAGCTCACAGAAGTCCCTGGACACTTGTCTTAAACAGTAGAGACTTCACTCAGATTTTCAGCTCCCAGTTAATCATTGGCACCATGTTCCTCCTTGTGTTGACATGTCTGTTCCAGTGATGACAAGAAGTGCTGGGGACTTAACATGAACATGCCCACAGTTGTCCTGTTGCCTAAGGTGGTGTTGCATGACATCACCCTCGGGGTTTGGAGTGCTGATCGTTCTGTTCTCTGCATCTGTGGGAGGCTGGAAACAGCTTTAACTGAATGAATTGCAGAAATAAATTTGCTAGCAAATGTTGTGATAATGCTGACCTTTACATCAGTGAGATATCTACCTTCCCATAATAACCCGCTGGCTATTGCAGCAATTGCTTAAATGGAGAAGTAACACTAGGTAGGTATTCCACATCTGTTTAGTTGTCTTTTAATGTGGTTAACAGCTGGAGCAGTGATTGCTCTACGCATCACCCATCGCCTGCGTATTATAGTTTGAGAAGTGCTCTGTTCTGACTTGCAGGTCAATCACTTTCATTACCCTTATTTTTAGGAACGTAGAAATTGTTATACAAGATCCAATCATTTACCCCAATAACATGTCTCTGAAAGAGGCTACCACCAGCCAGAAAGCATAAAAGACCCTCTAGGTGATAAAAGAGGTTTTCCTTCCAGTTTGTTTTCTTCTAACTGCCTGCCAAAGAGAAGAACCAAGCTCCAAATTGTGCAGTTCTTTTATTAGAGAGAGGTCAAAACAGACTGGGAGC